GAGAGAAAGGAGAGTATGTGTAAATAAATTAATTAATTATTATACACACACACACACACACACACACACGTGTATGTATATATATATATATGTGTATATATATATATATATATACACAATTATGTATACATAAATATTTTATATTTTATATAATTTCTCTTTTTCTCTCTCTCGACAGACAGACAGATAGATAGATAGACAGATAGATAGATAAAGACACGTATTATATAAATGCATATACAAATATATTAAAATTACCAAAATAAGTCATTTAAAGATTTTTTTTAAAGAAATTAAAGATGGATGAAAGCTAGCCTGAAGCATTTTATTTATTTAGATTAGGTAAATCTAGGTAGACTAGACTAGGTTGCACTATTCATTTGCATAACTTCTAAATCTGGTGCTCTGTGACAGTTCACTTTTAGCCAGAGGCTCTGCTCTTTGCATTTGTAATTTTTGCATTCAAACGTGGATGCTATAGGCTCTCTTTGAGGTATTTGAGGGCTAGACTCCAGCCGAGCTCCCCTCTGATCTAGCCAGGTCAAAGACTAAGCTTGATTTGAGCCAGTGAGAGAGGGGCAGTGGTGTCACAGAATGCCTGAGTACATGTCACTTTGTGTCAGCATTAGTTACTGCAGGAGGCCCCCTTTCCTTTTGTCCTCCAGCCGACTGGAGTTCACAGGACCGGTGTGCGTATCTCCCATTCCACATCTCTGGCCTGTATCCCTTTATGCCCCTTCTGCATGGCAACAAGCTTCAAATGAGGTGAGATTTTGACAGTCAGGTATGATTTAGTGATGGAAGATCAAAATAACTGAGTATGGCTTTATTTGATTGCATTTGGAAATACTATATTTTGGCACCGTAAAGCAGTACAGGGAAATGAATTTCACAGATATATCATATTAGAAGTACTTTTCACCTCACATTCCAGTCACATGACATAACTGGGCTTGATTAGATCGTGGCTTTTTTCCAATAAAAACAGACCCCTTGTTTAGTGTAACACATCACATGTTTGAAGTCCACATGAACACCAGTCGAAACCTTTGTTTTGTGACACAGTTTCAGGCAGTGGGAGTGAATGAATACTAAATTAATCAGGACAGGGCCTGATGGTAGAACAAAAGCATTTCTGATAGCAACAGTACAAAAGGTACAATTGTGTGCCATTCAAATGCTTTTGAATGGCACAATTTCAGGAAATTAATACAAATATTTGATAAAATATACATATAAAAAATTGAAAGTTCTGTTAAGATTGAATTTACTGTTTTATCTTTTAAAACAGTGAATGTCAAAACATTATAAAATGTATATTTATAAAATAAAATAAAATAATGAAATAAAAATGACTATGGACTGGCCATCTCTCCATGGTGTTTCCCTGCCTTCAGTCCAAGATGCTCCAGCATCCCTGCAACCCTATGTAGGACAAGCAGAATGGATAGAAAAAAATAAAATAAAATAAAATAAAATATCTGAAAAAGTAAAATAAAAGTAGTCAATAGTAAAATTTTAAAAAAGTCCGAACATTTTTTGGCGTCAATGAGAACCCATACATCAGTAATTTAATATATTTTTACATGTATTTTTGTTTGTTTATAATAAGTATGCATAGGAAAAGCCATGAAGTATCAACATAATATGTCAGTATATTTCAAGCTATTAAAATGGCCCAGAACATGAGGGTTAAAATGCAGGCTCAATTAACCACCATCATTGAACGTCTCCCAATGCAGGTTAGTGATTATTCAGGGGGCAGTTGTACGTAGCAAGACCATGAGTTATTTTCCACAGGGGTGAGAACAGGTTACCATTGGAGAAGCCTTTGCTATTTATAGCAGCTGTCAACAGCAGGCAGAGACTTTGTGGCATACTAATTGGTTGCATTTGCAGGTAAGTCAGAGCTGTGCATCTCCTCCCGTTCCATTTGTGGCCAGCTGAGCACTGACCGTTCCCCCGATAAGATCTACTAGAGGCTTATTTTTCACCCTTGTGGCTCTCAGATGCCATTTCAACAACTGTTTTCAACAGAAACTGATAATGAGAGATATGAAATGCATTTGCATACATGCACACAATATTTAGGCTATGCTTATCTCCTCCATCAGCGATAAAAGACCCAAATTTAGCGCACCAAATTGTTTTCGGCTGATCGGAGGATCCTGTATTCACCGTGAGGCGGCTCCAACCGAAATCTGTAAATCGTGTCACACTCAGTTCCAGAATTAGCTGCTCACAGCTTTCGGCACAGATGGCGTCATCCCCGCTCACTGCAAATGCCTTACAATCTAGTACAAGCACACTGACCTCTTCCTTAATCCTAATTAGGACTGTAATTTCTGCCAGAGCCTTCTTCAAGAGCAGTGGCAGTACAAGTGTTCGCTTTGAAACAAAAAAGAAAAACTCTTGTGACATTAAACATTATGAGATGGTGACGTGTCTGGATTTCTGATGACGTCTTTACGATGATGGATTAGAGCATGAAATACACATAAGCATCATTGCAGCCGTCTGTGTGTTTCTCTAAATAATGGGCTGTGACAAATACATAGGCGAATTGGGCTAAATCCCTGAGCAGGCTTAATAAAATCGAGAGTGAGCTGAAATCTAATGGACATTAACTCGTATATTCTCTCAGCTGTTCGAGCCCTAAAAGTTCCCAGTGCTGGAAACAGCATCTATTGTTGAGCATGTGAATTGTGTAGCAGTGAGGTACGGATTGGCTGACAGCTGAATAATGCCACCCCACAGTCGCTGCAGACTTGTTGATTTAGCAGGGATATGCACATAATCCTCCTCACTTCCTGTTCAAAAGAAATGCCCCAGAATGCAACGGGGTAGGTGAAAAGAGCACCCTGGGGGTGACTCTTTATAAGAGGGAATATTGTTACGTTTCACTAATGTAATAAACATTTAGTGAAAAAAAGTTTCTTGGTAATTTTGAAAAGGTTAAAAAAGTATAAAATCGAGAGTGAGCTGAAATCTAATGGACATTAACTTGTATATTCTCTCAGCTGTTCGAGCCCTAAAAGTTCCCAGTGCTGGAAACAGCATCTATTGTTGAGCATGTGAATTGTGTAGCAGTGAGGTACGGATTGGCTGACAGCTGAATAATGCCACCCCACAGTCGCTGCAGACTTGTTGATTTAGCAGGGATATGCACATAATCCTCCTCACTTCCTGTTCAAAAGAAATGCCCCAGAATGCAACGGGGTAGGTGAAAAGAGCACCCTGGGGGTGACTCTTTATAAGAGGGAATATTGTTACGTTTCACTAATGTAATAAACATTTAGTGAAAAAAAGTTTCTTGGTAATTTTGAAAAGGTTAAAAAAGTTTTTTTTTAGGATTTTAGGAATTATTAATAAAAATAAATAAAAAATAAAAATTAATAAAAACAAGTTTTAACCCTCAAGTTCTGTTAAAGGGATAGCAAGTCTGCGATCCGCCGTAAAGCAAGAAGAAGAATAAGACGCCTCACGCGCCTGCTGTTGAGAGCGTGCTCAGGAGGACGCGCAGTGCCGCCGCTCAGGACAGTTCAAACAGTTCGGACATTGCGTGAATCAGAGGTAAAAAACGATATAAATACTGTTCAGTTTCTTGCACAGACCGATCGTTTTGTGTCTTTACACATCAATGTATCATCACGAGCCGCAGGGTTTAATTTGGTTTTGTTTGTGTATGTTTTTTTTTACTCTCAAAGCCGTGATTCCCACTCACTTCCATTATAAGACTGACAGACAGCAATGGTTTGTGTTAAAAATCTTCGTTTGTGTTCTACTGAAGAAACAAAGTCACCTACATCTTGGATGCCCTGGGGGTATTTTTACACACAATAATCAAACTAAAAATATAAAATTTTACCCAAATATATATATACCCAAATAATAAATAAAATAAAAACAGTGGAGTAAACAAGAGAATATCTCAGTCTCTATAGAATCTAGCTCTCACTGAGCAGTGACTAAACCAGCAGCAGGAAGCCTATAAACTGCATAATAGCCCTGGCAGCAGCATTCACTTCTCTCTTCAAGATACAATCAGTGCTAAAACAGCAAGCCAAGCAAAAACCCCTGAACTCTCATTGTCTATTGTACAGTGCTGGCCCCCCATAGCATCTCTTGTTAATTGCCTTTTGTTTGCACTCTTGTACAAAAGCCATGTTGTGTAGTGCTACTCACTGAACATTTGGAGCTGAAGTTGTTGCTGCTGTTATAAAAATCTTTACCTCTGCCACATGCATCTGTTATAAAATAGATTGCATTTAAAAATGAAATCAATATGACTATTGGCTCAAGCATAACGTTCGTTTGTATCAGTAATTGTGGATTGATTTCTTGTCATCATACATTTACAATATAGAGAATTCTAGAAAAGTATAAAATGAGGATCATAGCTCCTGCCTGCCCCATAAAATGTATTAGTTATATTTTTGCATAATGATCCTTTGTGTTGTACATAATGCATTTTATTTTTTATGAATTTAATTTTCTGTCAAAATCATATTAATTTTAATCAGATTCAGAAAAAAAATAGTAATTTGCTGCTATATACGTAAGTAGTACAATCTGCAAAAAGGTTTCTACATGGCCACTTCTCTCTTTTCATTTGCAAATGTGCAAATACAGGCCACATTCACTTCTGGCTCTATAGCAACACCATAAAATACACCTTCTCTCTCCAGCACCTTCGCTTTGCTTCAGTACCAATGATGTACAGCACAGAGAGATTTAAATCAGGACCACAAACCCAATCAATCCATGAACACAGTTCTGCAAATACTGTATATAGCTGGTTATGCAAGCCTTTCATTTGAGAAACGGCCAAACACACAGACGTTGAGGTTTTCAGCAACACTAAAATGCAACAGAAAACCTGAGTAAATTAATTAACATGCATACGAAACTACACAGCAGACAAGTACTCCGGTCGTCTTGTGACAGTCTTCCGAGCTTTTTTTTTTTTTATCTCCAAAGTGTCTCTAATGTAAACAAGAGAGGGTCTACTCTCAGGATGATGTATACCGTGTTTAACCGACTCGCCTGTTTAAGGAAGGCTTTTGGATCTGTTTTCAGGAACTGTAATTCGCTGCTACTTTGATGTCAGATTAATGTGCATCCTCAAGCCAAATCCACAGAAGTAATGCAGAATGGCCAGGCACGAGGTTCACTGATAATGTGTGACTGTCTGAGAATATAGACAACAGGTGAGTCAGTGTTTGGACAGACACTGCAGGTGAGAGGTCGAATGGGGAAAGCTACTTTCAGGGCTGGATCGACTTTCTACAACTGTGGCAACTTTCCTTGTTTGCTGATTGTAAGGGATTGTTCAGCCAAAAATTACAATTCTGTCATCATGTGCTGTTTCAAAACTATATGGCTATATACCCAAACTACAATTCGTTTTTTTAATAATGAAAGTAAAAATAGAATGGATCAGTGTCTGTGACCCATTAAAAATACAAACAATTTTTTTCACGGGTTTATTTTAACGTGCAAACAGCAGCATACAGAACAACAGAGCAACAGAACCTGGATTCACACATCGTCAAATTATCACGCACCTGCAGCTCTTCTGAGAACAGAGAAAAACAGAATAAAATAACAAATAAAAAGAATAAAATAAATAGGCCTACACTAAATATTTTTCCATTAAATAATTAACATTAAGATGACAAAACAAAGACACACTGAATCCTTAAATGCAGCTTAAAGAACCGGCAGAGTCTTTTTTTTCGTCAGACATAAAAATAAATAGCAGGCCTACTTCAGTGCACAATGTGTCTAGTTTTTATAAAAAAAATTGAAAAGTAGCCTAAAATGTCGACGTGGTGTGCGGATAGTCTGGAGTAGAGCTCTGCGCGGTTTCGTAATGCCGCTCCCGCAATTTTTGTGGCCGCTTCCGCAAACGGAATAGGGCTACTTTTAAACTGAAGCCCTGGGTTGATTTTCCCCTGTGGGTAAACAAATATGTATAGCATACTTTTCTTTCACCATGCAGCAAACTTACTTGAAATACTTGGTGGTATTTTTGGGGGGATACTTAAAAAAAAAAAAAACTTTTAAACCGTTTAACTGAAAGTAAAAAAATTTGACCAGTTTAAACGGTTTAAAAGTATTTTTTTAATACGAACGTCCCTATGCTCAAGAAACATTTTTTATTATTATAATCAATGTTGAAAATGGCTGTGCAGCTTAATATTTTTTGTGGAAACCATAATTCATTTTGTTCAGTGTTCTTTGATGAACAATTTATTCAGTGTTCTTTGATGAACAGAAAAGAAGAGCATTTATTTGAAATAGAAATCTTTTGTAACATTATAAATGTTTACTGTCACTTTTTAGCAATTTAATTAATCCTTGCTGAATAAAAGTATTAATAAAAAGAAATTACTGATCCCAGACTTCTGAACAGTAGTGTA